CGTTGACCTTCGTGTTCCAGCTTTGGTCTGTTTTGGCCGTTGACCTTGTGTTCCAGCTCTGTTTGGCCGTTGACCTTTGTGTTCACAGCAAATCTCAGGGCATCTTCTTCCTCTCCTCTCCCCTGTGCTGTGCCATGCCGTGCTGTGATGCGCCTCCTGCCCCCATCCCTCCAAGTGTCAAACGTGGATACGTTGCTGCGGCCCGTGTCACAAGCAACAGCACAACAGAGAGCAGGCAGGGCATCAAACCCGCCCTCCCCAAACCAACCTCTTGTACCGTTCTGTGTCCCCATCCCCCATCCCCATTTCCCCAGGTATCAAACGTGGATGCGCTACTGCTAGTGCCCGTGTCACGAGCATCAGCACAGCAGAGGGCAGGCAGGGCAGGGCGAGTGAGGCCGGGGAAATGCTACAGGTGAAAGTTACTCGCACTCGCTAGTCTTAGTACACTCAGAATGGAATTAAAACAGTTTTAGGGGCATTGCTGCCCCCAAACCTCTGTCAATAATAGCAACGTGTTGGATTTCTAATGTGGCTTGCTTCCTTCTCTCCCCGTTTCTCCTCACCTCTTCTCTCCTCTGCTCTCCCCGTCCTCTTCGCCCCTCTTCTCTCCAACAGACTGTACACAGAGCACAGCTACTTGACAGATCTTGCCGCCCACACAATCCCGGAGATCCAGCGATCAGATCTCACAGCAACAGTGCTGCAGCTCAAGTCGCTCGGCATCGACAACATCATGCGATTCGATTGGCTCTCGCCGCCCGCGCCGTCCGCCATGATCCGCGCACTAGAGACGCTCTTTGCCGTCCGGGCGCTGGATATGGACGGCAGACTGACCAAGCCTGTTGGAGTCCAGCTGGCAGAGTTTCCTCTGGTAAGATGCACGTGGTAACCACATGCTGGTAACTTCATGCTGGTAGTAACCACATACTAGTAATTATGTGCAAGTACTGTCATGCTTGTAACCCCCAGCTTCCTTCCTCTCCCCAGAACCATCAATCAATATTCACCTTACCTGTTGAGCCTGCTTATTCCCGTCCCCCGCCTCTCTCCGTTCTCTCAGGACCCTCTGATTGCCTTCATGCTGCTTGTATCGGCCAATGCACCTGGCACCACCGCTGATGGTGCTACTGGTACTGCGATGAAGAGTGGAGGGGGTGGAGGTGGCGTGGGTGGGGGGAAGGAGGAGGATGATGAGGAGGAGGAAGACAGAGATGGGGAGGACGCTGATGGTTGTTCCGAGGAGATGTGTACAGTTGCTGCGTCACTGTGTGTGCAGGTGAGAGGAGGAGAGTGTTGGCTTGCAGACGGGAGGTTGGAGCGGTTGGGAGGTGTGGCATGAGTGTGAGGGTATGGAAGGCATGCAGGTTTAAGCTGAATCCTGTTGACCTCCATCCTCCTCATGTATTTCTCCCACGTCCTCCTCCTGTCATACTCCTGCCTCTCCACTGCTGCTTTTATCCCTCCACCAGGCTGTATTTAAGTCGTCTTTTGAGTCGACTCACTGCATTCCTCACCTATCTGCCCCACTTTCTCCCCCTTCCCCCGATCCTGCATCCCCCCTTCCCCCGATCCTGCATCCCCCCTTCCCCCGATCCTGCATCCCCCCTTCCCCCAGTCAGTGTGGGTGGGCAGCAGCGGCAGGCAGAGGGAGTCAGACAGACTCAAAGAGCGATTCGCTGCTGCAGAGGTGAGTAGCTTTTTAAGGGAGCATGTAGGGAGGGAGTATGGCATGGTACAGGTGTGCTTGGGAAGTGCTCACAACACGGTGCCAGACTTTCTTTTTGTTTTTGGCTTGTCCGACGGTGGCAGAGAGGTTGGGGAAACAGCAAGGCATGGTGCTCTGGTATACCAGACGGTGGTATACACTCGCCGCGCCTCTCCACTCCACCGCATACCAGCTTATTTCTTCCCCCTTCACTAGCGCAAGTTCATGTCCTGCCTGAACATGCATGGAGGTTTTATCCATTCATCGCGGTGTAGTGAGGCCGGCCAGACACATAACTCAGTTGACCTCACTGCAACGCCAACCCCTTCCTCACTGCAACGCCAACCCCTTCCTCACTGCAACGCCAACCCCTTCCTCACTGCAACGCCAACCCCTTCCTCACTGCAACGCCAACCCCTTCCTCACTGCAACGCCAACCCCTTCCTCACTGCAACGCCAACCCCTTCCTCACTGCAACGCCAACCCCTTCCTCACTGCAACGCCAACCCCTTCCTCACTGCAACGCCAACCCCTTCCTCACTGCAACGCCAACCCCTTTCTCACTGCAACGCCAACCCCTTCCTCACTGCAACGCCAACCCCTTCCTCACTGCAACGCCAACCCCTTCCTCACTGCAACGCCAACCCCTTCCTCACTGCAACGCCAACCCCTTCCTCACTGCAACGCCAACCCCTTCCTCACTGCAACGCCAACCCCTTCCTCACTGCAACGCCAACCCCTTCCTCACTGCAACGCCAACCCCTTCCTCACTGCAACGCCAACCCCTTCCTCTGTGTTTTGCAACGCCAACCCCTTCCTCTGTGTTCTGCAACGCCAACCCCTTCCTCTGTGTTCTGTGCGTTCGATGCTCTCTCTCTTCTCCCTTGTCTCTCCCACCAGGGCGACTTTGTCTCCTATCTGAACGTGTATGAGGGCTTCACTCGCAGTGGCCGGTCGCCCAAGTGAACTCGCCACACCCCCTGCCCCCTTCTTCTGCACTCCCTCCACCTCTCTATTCTCTCTATTCTCTGTGTTCCCTCTGTATTCTCTGTGTTCCCTCTCTATTCTCTGTGTTCCCTCTGTCTTCCCACCAGGGCGACTTTGTCTCCTACCTGAACGTGTATGAGGGCTTCACAGAAAGTAACACAATTCACCTCGCGACAAGACAACCCCTCTCCCATCCCTCCATTGTTCACGCCTAACTTCCTCCCTTTTCTCCCACCAGGGCGACTTTGTCTCCTACCTGAACGTGTATGAGGGCTTCACTCGCAGTGGCCGGTCGCCCAAGTGGTGCCACGCCAACGGCATCAACTACCAGGCCATGGTACACTGACTGACTACCATGGGGAGGGGTGAGAAGTGGTAAGGTCGCATGGTCTCATGGTGGTTTGGTTCCAAGTCGACTCGAAGTCGCATGGTATTGGTGCACTGGCAACCGTGGTTTCTGTGCTGTGCTCTACTTGCTATGCTCTGTGCTCTGTGCCATGTTTCTGCATTGTAATTCGTACAAATCTCAAAACTTCCCAGTGCAGTTTACAGCCAACCGACTGCAGACATCTTCCCTCGTCTATTCCTCTTTGGCCCTCACCCCTCCTTCACCTCTCCTTACCCCTTCTCATCCCTCCCCATCCCCCCATCTCAGCTGCGAGTGGACGATGTGAGGGGGCGGCTGAGGAGGGGCCTCAGGCGCTTTTCAAATCTGCCTCCTCACCCCTCCCCACCCCTTCTCGCCCATCCTCACTCCTCCCTACCCCTCCCCGCCCCCACATCTCAGCTGCGAGTGGACGATGTGAGGGGGCAGCTGCGGAAAGGGGCTAAGGCGCCTGGGGCTGAAGCTGCTGTCATGCAGAGGTGACGTCATGGTGGGTATGCTCATGACGTCATGGTGGGTATGCTCATGACGTCATGGTGGGTATGCTCATGACGTCATGGTGGGTATACTCATGACGTCAGCACTTAACGACATGCCACTCTTTCTCCTGTCCCACACTCTCACCTTATAATTTCCGTCCCCTTATCCCCCACCCCACGTTCCCAGTCCCCCTACCTGTCCCTCCTCTTCCCCATTTCCGTTGCTTGCCTTCCCACCCACACCCACCCACAACCCCACCACACCCCCTCCAACCCCGCACCACCCCTGATTCCACCAGCTGCTCCAGCAGGCAGCAGTGCCATCTTTTATCACTTCTCGTCACCCACCAATATTTTGTTCCACTCTCCCCTCTGCCAACCCCTACTCCTCTCCACCAGCTGCTCCAACGGGCAGCGGCGGCCTCTCTCTTCGTGAATGCGGCTCAGCTCATGGTAAGATCTGCAGTGTATGACCTTGACTCATATTCGAAGGGCTGCAGTAGTAGAAAAGACACTTAAAGGCCACAACCCGAATTACACAACGAAGTCAACGAAAAAAATTGTAGGTTCGGAAAACCCCAGAAGGAGGTTCGGTGGAAAAATCGATAACCAATCCCGTCAAAAACCCACTCAAAACCTTCGACCAATCACGTGAAAGTGGTGACAGTTTTGGGGGCCGACACGGTAATTCTGGATGTGTCCTTTAAGCAAAGGATCAACAGTGAGAAAACAAGTGTGAAAATCGCAGATCTGGAAAATTCTTCGTGATATGCGTGATCTGCAGCGTATGAGTGGGCGGTGCAGCGTATGAGCGGGCGGTGCAGCGTATGAGCGGGCGGTGCAGCGTATGAGCGTGCGGTGCAGCGTATGAGCGTGCGGTGCAGCGTATGAGCGGGCGGTGCAGCGTATGAGCGGGCAGTGCAGCGTATGAGCGGGCGGTGCAGCGTATGAGCGGGCGGTGCAGCGTATGAGCGGGCGGTGCAGCGTATGAGCGGGCAGTGCAGCGTATGAGCGTGCGGTGCAGCGTATGAGCGTGCGGTGGCAGCGTATGCGCGTGCGGTGCTGCGTATGAGCGTGCGGTGCAGCGTATTAGCGGGCGGTGCAGCGTATGAGCGTGCGGTGCAGCGTATGAGTGGGTGGTGCAGCGTATGAGCGGGCGGTGCAGCGTATGAGCGGGCGGTGCAGAGTATGAGCGGAACTCATGACTAGCATGTGTGAGCACTCTTGGATTCACTCATGAATCCAAGAGTGCCCACACATGCTTGTCATGAGTCCGTGCATGATTTGTCTAAGTCTACGCACATGGTTGTGCATGAGTCTATGCACGTTCCATTCCGCTTCCCATCCCGCCCTCCCCTCTCAGCCTGATGGTGACGGATCAACATACAAGTCCGTGAGGGGCTATCTGAACCTTAGGATTCACCCCTCCTCTACCATACCCCCTCCCTTCCATACCAGCCTGATGGTGACGGATCAACATACAAGTCCGTGAGGGGCTATCTGAACCTTAGGATTCACCCCTCCTCTACCATACCCCCTCCCTTCCATACCAGCCTGATGGTGACGGATCAACATACAAGTCCGTGAGGGGCTATCTGAACCTTAGGATTCACCCCTCCTCTACCATACCCCCTCCCTTCCATACCAGCCTGATGGTGACGGATCAACATACAAGTCCGTGAGGGGCTATCTGAACCTTAGGATTCACCCCTCCTCTACCATACCCCCTCCCTTCCATACCAGCCTGATGGTGACGGATCAACATACAAGTCCGTGAGGGGCAATCTGCATCTTAAGATTCACCCTTCGTCCGTCCTTTTCAGGTATGACAAACCCCCTTACTCACCCCACACCTCACCACTCCGACAAATTTCATTCCCCCTCCCTCCTATCCATACTATTAAAGTACTGTACTAACAGCAGCAGCCATCTCACCTTCCCGTGCAGTGGTCTCCCCCCCCCTTTCCCCCCTTCCCTACCCCCTCATGTGTATTGGATTATCCACCTGTTTCGCAGAGTGGCGCCGCAGTGGGTGGTGTACCGCACTGCATCACAAGTGCCATTCTATTGCCCCCTCCCCCTTCCCCTGCATCCATGAACGTTACCTGAACCCTGCACCTGCCTTACAGAGTGGCGCCGCAGTGGGTGGTGTATCGCACTGCATCACAAGTGCCATTCTATTGCCCCCTCCCCCTCCCCCTGCATCCATGAACGTTACCTGAACCCTGCACCTGCCTTACAGAGTGGCGCCGCAGTGGGTGGTGTACCGCACTGCATCACAAGCTGACTCGTTTTTGTACATGCGAGACGTGACTGCGGTTGAAAGAGAGTGGCTACTGGACGCTGCTCCACACTTCTTCACACAGAGACAGATCGGAGTGCCTACAAGACCATAACTCTGATTTGTTTCTTCCCTAGTTGTCTGGTGCTTTGTTCATCTTTCATTTTAGTAAGCATGTGTTTCTTTAATGCTGCTTTCAAAATTGCCAGCAACACCACTACTGGTACCACCACCATCACCATGAGCACATTGCTAGTGCTACCTAGCACACATCAGCACTATAATGAACAAAATTCCAACAACCTCCCTGTAATCTCTACCTTAGCATGCAGTACAAACCGTTACGATATAGTACACCGCCGACCACCCTCCCTCCTCTCCTTCTCCTTCCAATCATCCCCCTCTCCCCGCGCCAACGCCTCATGTTCTATCTCTGCTACAACCTCCCTATGCTCCCTACACCCTACCACCTGCTGTTCCTCCTCCCAATACCTCTCCTCCACCTCACTCCCCTCGGGCGGGGGCGGCCGCCAAAACACTCGCGCCAGCGCATCAACTGCCCGGGAAGCTGCCCGGAATCTTTTCACTGAGAGCCGCCCGGACTGTAGCGCGTGCGCCAGCGCATTAACAGCTTCTGCCTGTCTGGTCTCCGTGTGGCAGACCAACACCATATCCACCCCTGCTGCTACAGCCAGCACTGCTGCCTCTCCCACACCCACATGCTTCACTATCGCCCCCATCTCCAGGCAATCTGATAACACGGCGCCTTCGAAACCAATCTCCATACGAAGGTAGGAGAGGGCACCGGGGGAGAGAGTGGCAGGGAGAGAAGAGCCGAAGGCAGCCAGTGGGGAGGGGTTGGGGGATGGGGCGGGGTGGTTGGTGGGAGGAATAGGCTGCTGCTGGTGTGGCTGTTGTGTGGTTGATGGGGATTTGACTGTGTCAGCTCCAGTGGTAACACAACTGTTACTGCTATTTCTACTGCTGTCATGGCTACTCTTATCACCAGCACTGCCAGAACCCCTCAGGTCAGACTCAGAGAGCGATCGCGGCAATCCCAAGGTTGCTTCTGCTTCTCTCCTCGCCTCGTCCCACTGCTTCCGCCTCCTGTAAGGGGAAAACAGATCCCACCGTGGACTGATGACACGTTTCACACTCTCTGGGAGGTACTCCATGGAAGGGGGAGGCTGCCACGTGACAAGTGCAGGCACTGCCACGTGGGCGACCATCACTGCTGCCACGTCAGCATCCACTGCCGCCCGCGCAAAACGGCACCAGCTCCACAGATTCAAGCCGGCTGAGATCGTGCGACGAATAGGGAAGCGCCAGGTGGCTATCGATCGATGTATCCCCATGCCCTGGGTAATGCTTCACACACGCTGCCACCCCCTCCCCTTGCATACCCCTTATAAGCTCGTACCCCATCTGAGAGACAACACCCGGGTCCCGACTAAACGACCGAGCCCCTATAACTGGATTGTCAGGGTTAGTATCTACATCTAGTACAGGAGCTAAGTCTGTATCTATATGAACCGATCTTAACTCCCGCCCCAAGACACGGCCAGCCGCCCGAGCGAGATTAGGGTTTCGGGAAAAGCCGATGGTGCGGGCGGCGGGGATGCAGGTGAAGGGCGGGCCGAGGCGCGTGACTCTGCCGCCCTCCTGATCCACCATGATGAGAAGACGCCGAGGGAACGCCGCCCGCTTGAGGTCGGCGCAGAAAGAGGCCAGCTGGCGGGGATCGGAGAAGTTGCGGGCGAAGAGGACAACACCGCCCGCACCTGGAAGGGGGAGAGGGTGAGAGGGTTAGAGGGAGTGAGTGTGTGAGTGAGAGAGTGAGAGCGCATAGCTATGTGGGAGCTGGCGGAGGTTGGAGAAGTTGTTGGAGACGAGAACGATGCTGCCCGCACCTGGAAGAGAGGGTGGTGAGAGGCGGGCGTGCGAGGGAGTGACAGAGTGAATGAAAGGGAGAGAGTTAATGAGTGAGAGGATGCAATGATAACCGAGGGGCTGTTGTGCAGCGCTCACCCAATGCGATGAGGCGGCGAGCATGGTCGTTAATCTCCTTCCCGTTGAACCCAAACGCCACTAGCTTAGCCACCGCTCGTTGGTACACCGCTAGGGAGTCTCCAGCCTCCGTTGCTGTAACCGAAGCAGTTCCAAACGGGGACGCGCTGTCAGGGGAAGACGACGAGTCGAGGGTAGAGCCATCCTGCCGCTCCCAGCTAGTACGGGGGGTGTTTCTGTTCCGGGTCGTTCTCACGTTGATTGATCGCAATTGCACGCCTAAATCCGCTCCCGTGCTTCCCGCTTCACCCGCCTCGCTTGTTCTACCCGCGTTGCTGTGGTTCAAACGAAAGGACCATGCACCGTCCCTGTGCGCCACGTCACGCCCGTTTAAACGGTAATTTTGCGCGCCTTGCTGCTCCTGCTTTTGCTGCAGGTTTTCCGCAGCAGCTTTTGCGCCTTGCGCAATCTCCGCCTCCCCCCCCTCCTCTGGCCGGAAAAAAAGCGCTCCCTCCACGAGGACGGGATCCAACGGCTGAGCTGCGGAGTCAGGCTGACGAGAAATATCCGCCATCGGATTGGACCAGCCTCTGGTACGATGCGCAAGGGGTGGTGCGGTATGGATATCGATGCAATTGGGTATTGCCGCTATACGCTATCGCCACGAGCATTTGGTCGCCGCAATTAGTCACTGCCGTCTCGATTGCGACGACGGACCTAGATAATTACCTCATGTCAAACGAGACCCACTGGTGCAAAATAGACAGGTGTGCTGGAAACCGAAGAAATCGAGGGGCGAAATTTCAGGAGGGAAGTTGAGTTGTGTCCCCGTTAGAAGCCGAGCCATGGAAGTTTCGCACCCAGTGCAGGACATTTGGGTGTTACCGTTGTTACTTCTGCAGTATTAGATTGGAAATGTAAACTATGCACCAACATGATAATGAAATATTTGAGGTGCTCAAAGGTGTGCCAGCCAGGGCTCAAATATTACATGCAATGCCTTCAAAAAGGTAATGGCTCGGCAACAATTAGAGCAGGGGACAAGCTGTTGGGGAAAGAGCTGTTATGTGCCGTGCTTGTGTGCACTCTCCACTGACAAAATTGGGCCGAGGTGTGCGGATGGGACAGACTCTAGATCTCCTCACATTCCTCTTCTATCCTCTCTTCCTCTCCTCTCCTCTCCTCTCCTCTCCTCTCCTCGCCTCTCCTCTCCTCTCCTCGCCTCTCCTCTCCTCTCCTCGCCTCTCCTCTCCTCTCCTCTCCTCTCCTCTCCTCTCCTCTCCTCTCCTCACCTCTCCTCTCCTCTCCTCTCCTCTCCTCTCCTCTCCTCTCCTCTCCTCTCCTCTCCTCTTCTCTCCTCTCCGCAACAATCTCTGCTCTCTCCTTTCCAGATAGTCACGCACGCAGGGGTACAATACAAATTACAGCAGAAGGCATGAACAGAAGAAGGTCCCAAACACATCATCCAGGCACAATGTTTGACACAAGCACAGATGTAAAGCTTAGGGAACGAGCCAACACCTTCACAGTCTTTGGCATTGAATCATATGCCTGGGCAAACGTGGGCTCCATATCCTCGTTATAAGCTGTCCTGTACATCTTGACTTGTACAGGAGCAGCTGAATTCTCTGCTGATAAAGAATCAATGGCCAATGACACCGGGTAATCATCCCCGTCTTGATTGGCCACAAACACCGCCAGCTGGCGCCGGGCAGCAGAGTAGAAGGCAGCCACGCAATGATGACACCCCTGCGCAGTGGTAACCTGTAACGGCTTGCTCCCCTTTGGCGCCCCTTGTACAAGCTGCTTCATTACAAAATACTTCTTCGAATAGACCACCGAGAAAGGTGGTAGCTCCGCGCTTTTAATCGGAGCCATAGGAATAATAAGAAAGGCCCATGTCCGAGTGTTCCCCACTGCTTGCCAGAAGATCCAAGCAGATGCTCCCATGATGTTCACTGATTGGATGACGGTTCTTGCCATGTGCACGGCAATATCAATGTCTGCTCCCCCCTTCATGAACAGAGGCCCAGCTTCGGTAACCCAAACCTCCTTCTGTAAGCTCTTTCCCACCTCCCGCATTTGTCCAAACATTTGCTCGACATAAACTCTGGGGCTGTAAATTCCTGTCGAGTTTCCCCTCGGGAATATATACCCATGTACACTAAGATGCCTCAACGGCTGTAGTGATTGCTGCTTCGCAGCACTCCAGAACCGCTTGTAACGAACCGTGGAGTCCACCAGACTGTCGAATCCTGCTACTCGGGTTACCAGGTTTCGCTTCTTGAGAGCTCGCACGACCAAGGGGATCAGTTTTTGTAATCCATTAGCGTCGAAATTACAACCCTCCTGTATTCCCCCTTGCTCCCACCATCCCTCCAGCGGCTCGTTAGTCGGACTAATCGCCACGAAAGTAACGTTCCACGCGTCTCTAAATTTCTGCACTATAGTAGCTAAATAGTCCGCGAATGCCTCGTAATATCTCGGCCGTATGTTGTTGGTGTTCGCGTGGCCGCCTGACACATCCCCGCTAAGAGTCATCCACCACGGCGGCGAATAAGCCACTGCTTCTACCGAATCAACTCCGCGCGCCAGCGCACCAATCAGCACGCGCCGCTGCCGCCAATCTGCCGACCAATCGTACGGTCCTGCCGCCTTTGGTTTATACCCGGGCATCGGCCGCGCGTCAAAGGGAGGTCCTAAGGACGTCATTTGAGGCGACCGTGCGGGATTGAAGCCCGCTCCAATTAGGTGCCTAACCATATTAAGACCGAGGCCGCGCGTGGGGTGGAATAGAAGGTCTAAGAGGGTGTTGAGATCGGCGGCGGGTAAGCGACCAATGTAATTCGCGAACCAGCCTAGCGACGTGCCCCAGCCTCGCCAGGTTTGCCCGATAGGCGTGCTTGTGATCGTTACGACTGCAGGCCCTGTTATGGGGGAAGTTGGGAGGTTAGAATTGGGAGCAGAATATGAGTTGTGAGTCGATTCAAAGCACTGCCAGTGACCGTTTCTACGCATGACCTGTGGTTGGGAGAGGGTGAAAAGGCGGGTCGGGAATCGAGTTGTAACGACAGTTGAAAACACTTGAGACAGCTCATGAGCCCATACGGTTGAATTCTCACCCTTGCGCACTCCGACCTTCCTCTTTCTTGCCATTCTTTGCCCTTTCAAAACGAAGCTGCAAAGATTGGAAGTCTGGGCTCCGTCCCTACAGTCTCCCTTTTTCACTCTGTTACAGCCACTCCCCCCGGCTAGAGTCCCTTCACCCTGCTACAACTCGATCGCAACCTGCCACATTCCGCCTTCCCCCCCCTTGCTACACACCCCCTCCCGCCTTACCTGCGACGGCGCACACGCGGTAAATCTCCCCCTCCGGTTTCAAAGTGGGGGTCGGGGGACCATCAGACGGGGGGAGAGTGGGCGGCGGAAGCAGTGGGAGGCGCGGGAGGGGGGGATTGACGGACGGAGAAGGGGGTTTGGGAGGCGGAGGAGGAGAAAGGGGGGTTCTCGGGGGCGGGGAAGGAGGCGGAGAAAGCGGGGGTTGTGGCGGAGGGCGCGGGGGAGGCGGGGGGCGAGGGGGAGATGGCGGTGGAGGCGGTGGTTTGGGCGGAGGGCTGGGGGGAGGTCTGGGAGGGGGAGACGGCGGGGGAGGATTCGGGGGCGGAGAAGGAGGCGGAGAAGGCGGAGGGCGTGGGGGAGGACTGGGAGGGGGAGGGGGCCGGGGAGGAGGAGAAGGGGGACGAGGGGGAGGCGAAAAGGGGGGCGGGGCGGGGCCGGGTCGGCGAACGAAATCAGTGAATCCGGCGGAGAAGGCGACGAAGGACAGCAACAGCATCGCCGGAAAGAGCGCCGATTGGCTGCGGTACCCGCGCGTTACACGGCGATGCGCGCCGAGAGGGCCGACGACGACCGCGCATGGCGCAGGCATCTGCGCGCACGGTGTGATGGACGAGCGAGCGCATGTGACAAGGTGCACCTAGGAAGCCTGAATCTATAGCCGCATTCGCCGGATAAGCGTCAGGAGCTCCGTGGCATCAGCGTTACTCTCCGACAACTCACCACGCGCACACTGGCATCAAGTGGAACTCCCGTTGGTGGCTGCTAAGGTGAAGCGCGGCACTCTATGACAAAGCAACATCGACGCAGGAACTGCAAACTAGAAAATATTTTCTGAGCATTCTTCGTTGCGTAATAGGGGGAAAAGAGTTCCTAATCACTAGCGGGAAAGAAAGTCGTTCCTGACCGCCAGATCGAGCTGGACTACTGAGCCTGAGTGCTTTGAATGTGCGAAAATGCTGTAAGTGCGAAGTGTAGGACTTGCAGGAAACTATCGTGAGAAATCTCAGCGGGCCGTATGTGAGGAAGATTTGGTAAATCGAACGCGCTATTTATTCGGTTGCCTGCATCATGCATAGAGGTGGTTGGTACAGTGGCGCCGACGTCCTGTCGAGGCGAAGAAGCAACCTGAGAGCACACTTAGCTGTCATGCACCTTGTCTGTCTTTTGGATAATACCTCGGCAGTGGACAGCAGCTTTGTTTGAAGCATGACTGGGCGGAGGAGGGCTATGGATGGATGATGGGGGAGAAATTCCATCGAGACCAGCAGCACACATACATGTCGAGTGAAATCCGCCGGATCGCGGATTTGGGATGGCTGCGCGATGCGATGGTGTCGGTTTCCCGAATTGCAGGGAAAAGCAGGGAGGGATGGACGTGCATGGAGGTACAGAACCTTAGCGCCAAATGCGGCGAATGTAGAATCCAGAGTCAACTACAGTTCAGCTCTTCCGCGTGTAGGAACTTCTCTAAAATCATCCAAGCCAGTTAATCTGAATTCATATACTTCACATTGCAAAAATGTTCGAAGGTTAGGCGCATTATCAGCTTTTCATCGTGTATATTCCCAATCTAGCTATGTTCAATTCAGAAGAAAATCAACCAGTAAGTAAAACAAATCCCGATGCACAGGGAGATCGGAGAGCCATGATGGTCAGGCATAATACATGTAGAGGGAGTTGGAGGCGGCACAGGCAATGAGGTTGGCCTTGGGATGCCACGCAAGGTGCAACAGCTTTGAAGAAAAGTCATGCTGCATGCCGTTGGGATCCATGGAATCCACCGCTTCTGCCATAACCACACGGGAGAAATCAGAAAGTTCAAGTGACCGTGGCCGGCCAATAGAAGGACTTGAGAAGGCAAGGTGCACAAGAAGGTATGAAGGGGTTGCACGGAATTTGGTGGAGAGCACAAGGCATTGGGAAGTGGCAAGAAGCATGAGGTGGTGCCTGAGTGTGTTATCCCCCACGCACCTCTTCTTGCATCCCTCCTGCCGCGTGCCCCTGCCCTGCCCCCTCCCTTGGCTGGTGTCTGCACCATGCGCCTGCTCATGCCACCATTTTGAATTCATTCCAACAACACCCCATGCCGCGACATGATTAAGAATGAACACCATGCCATACAATGCCAACCACCCCCAGACACGTCGTGCCCACATGCCCATGCAAGCACGATACGATCACCCATGCCAGCAGGATGTGACCACCCATCAATCGCACATGCCATACGGCACGTCAGAATGGGTGAGGGGAATGAAGTGATCAACAATGAAAATTATTCAAATCAGAGGCCAGAGACGCAAAGCTTGTATCGAACTGATTTTTTTTTTTTTTTTTTGTGAAAGTTAGAATGGCCGGATAGCATAGGGAAAGGCGGGAGGGGAGCGGGGGTGTGGGGGGGGGAGTGGGGCGTGCAGGATAAAGGGGGGAAAGGAGGGGGGGAGAAGCGTGGTGGACAGAGTGGGAGAGAGGGAGGATGGGCGCACCTGTTTGGTGTTTTAGAGGACTCGAGCAGCGAGGCCTCGTCACTCCCTGGCACCACTCCAAACACCCGAAACAGATTGCTGCAAGCGAGGTGGGCAGGAGAGAGGGAGAGAGAGAGATGTGCACACGGTAAGGGTGCCAAAGCGGGTAAAACACAAAGAGCTTGACATGAGAGGTCCTGGTCGCATCGCATGTTAGCAGGTTGATTCACATCACAAGATGTTTGATGCAGCACGCCAGTGCAGACAGACCAACAGACGCATTCCAGCAGACTTGCATGTACGAGCCTCAACTCACACCTGTACAGGGATGAGTCTCACCTGTAGGAGCCAGAGGCGCATCGCAACCCGTCCCCGCTGGGTGTGCACTCGAACTTGTCAAATATGCAGTCGTTCTCATACAGGTCGCACAGCTGGTGGGGTGAGAGGAGAAAGGTGGGGGGGGGGGGAGGGGGGGAGGAAGGGTGGGAAGGGGGCATGGAGGAGAGGAGGAAAGAGAGGAGGGGTAGTGAGAACATGCACTCGAACTTGTCAAATATGCAGTCGTTCTTGTACAGGTCACACAGCTGTTGGAGGTGGAGGTGGGGGAGTGGGGGGGGTTGATGAAGGAAAGGAGAGGCGGATGGGGGAGACGGGGGGAAGGAAGTGGAAGGGGGTGGCGAGAAGGAATTAGAATGTGCACTCGAACTTGTCAAATATGCAGTCGTTCTCTTACAAGTGGCACAGCTGGTGGGGTGAGAGAAAAAGACCAGGGAATGAGGGGAGTGGGGGAGGAGGACACAGGTGGAGAGCGGGGAGTGGAAAGTGGGAGGGTCAGGATATGCATTCGAACTTGTACACTATGCAGTCGTTCTCATACAGGTGGGGGTGAAGCAAGAGTGAGGGGGAAAGAGAAGGGGAGTCGGGGGTGAGGAGGCAGCTGAGTGTGCAGCTGAGCTGAGGAGATGGAAATGGGGAAATGGATTGAGGTGGGAATGCTGAACGGCAGTAGAACGGGCAGTATAGCCCTACAGAAACTATGAAGGCAGGACCCCCAGGGGAGGCGAGGGGGGGGGAGGGCAGTGAATGCGAAGTGGACAAAAAGGGAACGTAAAGTGTGAAGGCAGGGTGGATGGCATGGTAAGGAGAAGGGGACAGCAGAATGACTGAGGGATAGAAGGCAGGGTGGATGGCATGGTAAGGAGAAGGGGACAGCAGAATGACTGAGGGATAGAAGGCAGGGTGGATGGCATGGTAAGGAGAAGGGGACAGCAGAATGACTGAGGGATAGAAGGCAGGGTGGATGGCATGGTAAGGAGAAGGGGACAGCAGAATGACTGAGGGATAGAAGGCAGGTGGTAAGGTGGGGTGGTCACCTTGGGTCGCAGGAACTCGTGCACTTTGAACGTTCCCAGCGGTTGCGCTTCCATGTGAATGTCCCACAGCTGCCACGCCCAGGGAGCGAATAAGGGGTGGGGGGTTGGGCGGGTGAGTGGAAGATGAAGGAATGGAAACAGGGAAGCACTTGAGGCGGCTCAAAGCACAAGGAACATCTGTCGGGATCCATGCTGATTCTTCTCCAACAAACAAGGATCATTTGAAAGTTGGAACCAAAGAACCAGTTCTGTGTGCCATTCTTCTTCTCGTCTGGTGGTTGACTACATGCCATGCCACACCGTACTCACCATACACACTGCTTTTCAAGCCGTACCTTGACGGTCATGTAGTCGCGGCTGAAGATGTAGCGGCCGTCGTTGGAGAACTTGACATCGCTGATGGATGCGATGATCTCCGAGAAGAATGACTGGCACTACTGCCTGCCTTTCTTCGTGGCGCACCAACTTCACCCATTACTGCCTTGACAAAGCACTGCTGGACAAGTGCACGCACCTTGACGGTCATGTAGTCGCGACTAAAGATGTAGCGGCCGTCATTGGAGAACTTGACATCGCTGATGGATGCGATGATTTCCGAGAAGAAAGAGCGGTTGCCGGGGGGTTCCTGCTCCTCGAAGCTGTTTGGAGCGCAAGCAACGAGAGGGAGGGGCGTGGATGGAAAGATGCGAGACAGGTGCGAGGTGGAGAACTTGACATCGCTGATGGATGCGACGATCTCCGAGAAGAAGGAGCGGTTGCCGGGGGCTCCTGCTCCTTGAAGCTGCGAGAGAGGGAGCGCCATGGATTAGCAAAGTGAGGATGACTCGAGAAGCACAAGGAATCTGTCACGTGCTTTTAAGCTCCTACTCCTCCAACCGCAGTGCGAGACTGTCACAGACGGACATGCATGCCATCAAGCTCGCAGCTTGGTTGAAGTGTTGGTCGCAGAGGGCGGACTGGCGCATGTCATTAGGTGAGGCGGATGGTGGCAGCGCATGTCACTAGGTACATGGCACAGAGCACACCTTACCAGCAGTGTGCGCATTTCAAGCAACACTAACTCGCAACAACAAGGCTCACAGCTTGGAGTGTTGGTCGCAGAGGGCGGACTGGCGCATGTCAATGAGGCGGATGGTGCCCTTGGACGTGGAGTAGGCGAGCGAGTGGCAGTGCGATGGGTGGAACTCCGCACACGTTATCACCTCTGGTTGAGTTTGTGGGAGAATAAGGGGAGAAGGGGCGCATGGGGGAGTTGAGAGGGGTTGCAGGAGCAGGAAGAGCAAGCGGGTGGGGTGTGTCGCGGGGAGGGGGGAAGGGAGGGCAGAGGGGGGCGAGGAGCAGGGGGAGTGGGGGGTGGAGACGGGTGACAGGAGGGAGACAGGAGAGGGGAGTGGAACGGGGTTGGGGACACGACCATTGAGGAAAAGGAGGGGCAGTGACATAGACTTGCGCCACTTGAGATGCATACAGTTTATGAGATCCCACTTGCACCACATCACACCACAACACCCACCTGTGAGGTCCACCCACCACGTTGCAGCTCTGCGCGTTGCAAAGCTGTGCATGCTCACGTTGCATCTATACTTGTAAGGATCTACCCGCACCAAACCCCCCACCTGTGAGGTCCTCCATGTTAGCGGGCTTGATGATATCCACCACGTTGCAGCTCTGCGTGCTGCAAAGCCATGCATGCACTCTCATACACTTGTACCTACACCGCACCACGCCAGCCAGCCATCACCCACCTGTGAGGTCCTCCATGTTAGCGGGTTTGATGTCCACCACATTGAAGCTCTGCGAGTTGTTCTCCAGGTTCCACAGGTTCACCCTCAGGTCGTCCGCTGATATGAACGTCTCCCGGTCGCTGCAGGGGGCAAAGAGAGAGGGCAGGGGAGAGAGGGAGGGAGCGGGGGGAAGGGACGGAGCGGACAAAAGGAGAACGGGATGGGGAGGAGGGGTGAGAGGGGTTTGAGAGAAAGACGGGGGAGGGAGGGAAAAGGGATACGAAAGGGCAATGTTTTGAGAGGGGTTGTGAGGGGGAAGTGGGGAAAGGGAATGTGATGGAGGCTTGTCAACGGGCCTCTAGGCTCCACAGGTTAGCCTGTAGTCGCTGCGATGGCGGCGAAAGGGGTGGGGGAAAACGAGTGGAGGGGTGTGGCCCGGCGGGTGGGTCGGTGGGTGGGTGAGTGAGTGGGTGGGTGAAACGGGTGGGCAGCGAAACGAGAAAAAGAGCAGCGCCTGCGAGGGGTAACAACTCACACAGCCCAGGCTACTGCAAGTAAGCAGTAATAGCAGCAGCAGCTGACTGAGTTGCTGCACGAACAGACAGGTAACCTGTTGCAGCAGCAGCGATGCACACACCTGTTGCAGATGGAATTTATGTGGTAGGCGTGCTTTGAGACAACGAAACCCAGACTATTGATATTCAGACCGAAAAAATCCTCCTTCTAAGCCCCAAAAACCGCGCACCTGTTGCAGGAGATGGAGTTTATGTGGTAGGCGTGCGCGTTGGAGAAGACACGGCGGCACCGCGCCACCAGCGTGGTCTCGTTAGTTGACACCTGGTGGGGGAAAGGGGGAGAGAACGACGGGAGGGAAGACAGGGTGCGGGTAGGGGCACGGTGGGAGGAAGGAGTGAGCAGGATGGGAGGGAGGAGAGGGCAAGTTGGGAGGGAGGGCACGATGGGATGGAGGACGGGGTGGGGGGGTGGTTCGAGATGGGCTGGAGGGCAAGGTGGGGAGGAGGGGGAGAGCATGGTGGGGGGGAGGATACAATGGGAAGGAGAGCACGGTGGGGGGAAGAGCAAGGTGGGAGGAGAACAAGAATGTGATATGTGAGAAGAAGATAGGAGTGGAGCAATGAAGCCCAACTGACTTCAAACAGTGCTGGCTGTAACGTGCTGGCTGCAACGACAACACACGCTCAGGACGCACGGCGCAGGGCATGCAGCACTCACCACAGCAGGGAGGCGCAGTTGAGGAAACCCTCCAGGAGGGAAATCCAGCTCCATGCCCTCGCCCACACCGTTCAGCACCGCTCCAGCGCCAGCAGCCACCGCTCTGGCCGTAGCCGACGCAGCAGACAGCGACCCAGGGCGCGGGAGGTACCGCGGGTTGATCTGTGGCCCGCCAGGCACTGACACAGGGGGCGTGGGGAGCGCATCTGCTGCTGCTGGGTCGGCTGGCGCGTTGGCGGAGGCGAGGTAGTCGGCGGCTGTGCGGGGCGGGCAGTTGAACTGCGAGACGGCCTTGACGCGGCGCTCCGTGACGCGCCAGAGCTTGATGGTCTTGTCATTGGTGGAGAGCACGTACAGCGCGCCCTGGGAGGAGTTCACCCACCGGATCTTGTTTATCTTCTCCTCTATCTCCAGCGATTTCAGGTAGTCGAACTGGCAGGGAGGGGAGGAGGGGAGAAGAGGGGAGGAGGAAAGGAGGGGGAGGGGAGGGACGAGGGGAGGGGGGGGAGGGGAAGAGGGGAGGGGGTGGGGGAAGAGGGGAGGGGGTGGGGGAAGAGGGGAGGCGAGGGATGGAAGAAAAGCTGGGTGACGCGCCAGAGCTTGATGGTCTTGTCGTTGGTGGATAGCAGGTACAGAGCGCCCTGCGACGAGTTCACCCACCGGATCTTGTTGATCTTCTCCTCTATCTCCAGCGACTTGAGGTAGTCGAACTGGAGGGGAGGGAGAGACGGAAAGAGAGGGATAGTTCTTTTAGCGTTCTCAGAATGAGGACCTCCCTAGGGACGAGTTCACCCACTGGATCTTGTTGATCTTCTCCTCGATTTCCAGCGACTTGAGGTAGTCAAACAGGTGCGAAAGGGGGACGGAGAGAGAGGTGGAGAGGGAGCGATGGGAGAGAGGGAGGAAAGATGGGAGGGGTTGGAAGTGGAGAGGAGCAAGAGGGGTGAAGTGCGGTCAGGAGAAGTATAATGGCACGTTGGGGTGCCCGACTGGGGAGCGTTTACCTCCTCCTCTCTATCTCTAGCAGCTTGAGCTAAGGTGGACCTATCACCAGCGCACAGCATTGCAAGCTTCACGCGTGTAACTCGTGGCTCGAAAACTCAGGGGCGCTCGTGATGATCGGCTGATAAATGTGTTCATCCACCATTTCGTGCCACATAGTTGGCTGTTCCATGCCTATCGATCCCCTTCCTGATCCTTTTCCAGGCCCCATCCTGCATACAGCAGCCGTACCTCGGGCTTGTTGCTCTGCAAGTCCGAGCATCAGCATCAGCGGTACTCGATCTGCTGGCGCGCTGCATACCAACCCGCCAAAGACGCGACTTACACCCTCACCCCTTGCATCCGTGCCCGTTCCCCCGTCCCACTCCCGCACATCCCGCCCTAGCGATAGCTCCGGCTCGCAGCTCTGCATCTGAGTGGATTGGCTTTTCTCAATCTGCAGGTTAGGCTACCACCCTAGCAGCTACCAAGCGCGTCCCATTCCATCCAACTCTCCGCACCCACCTCCCTGCTCCCCTACTGCACACGGCTGCCGTGCCTCCCACTCCCGCATATGGCGCCAACCCGTACCTCAGGCTCGTGGCTCTGGAACTCGGTGGAGTAGCGGTAGTCGATCTGCTGGGTAGGCTACCCGTCCAACAGCTTGACCAGCAGATGCAGGCTACCAAAAGAGCGCGATTCACACTAGCACCCTCCCTCCCTATCTGTGCACATTCCCCTGTCCTCCCATACAGAAGCCACGCACCTCAGGCTCGTGGCTCTGGAACTCGGTGGAGTAGCGGTAGTCGATCTGCTGGTGCGCAGCGGGGGGGTAGTCGCTCGCTTCCATCTCCCGCCGACCCCGCGCCTGATGGCACCCATGGGACGCGCGCATGGGAAGGGATGGGATACGGTGGGAAGGCGTGAGCAGTCGTGAAAGGGAGTGAACAAGAGTGAGTAGGAGTGAGTAGAGGTGAGCAAGGGAAGAGTGGATACGACGACTAATAAGGCGTCTTCATTGCGTCTCATTGCGTCTCCGCGTGCATTAATCCCTTTTTTTATTCTTATTTCTTTCATGACAAGCGGAAATATCAATGGGTGAGGACGCAGCATACAGACGAAAGCGCTGAAAAGCAGCGGGTGTGTTCTGGTTTAAAGTGGATAGTAAGGTCGACGCTAATATTACTGATCATTTAGGATCATGCTGAATAAATCCATGCAGGTCAATGTGGACTCAAGCCACGCCGCTTAAAGCTTGACGTCGTGCAGAGACGCAGCATACAGACGACACATCATGCAAATAGTACCGACGTCATGCCATTCCAGAAATAATGCGGGCTTCGAAAATAGGGACTCACGTCGCGCAGGTCAATGCGGTCAAACAGCACCACTCGCCCGCCTCTGTCGCCCGTCGCCAGGTGCTCGCCGCTACGATCGAACTCAATCGCCGATATAATGTCCACTGCACCGAACCACAGAACCGCACGGAACCGCACACCACAACAGATAAATGAGCTTAGTGCACGGAAAGTTTTCGAAAGACCTGCCCTTCATCACAATGTCAGCAATCTTGTTAAGATCAGGAAGACTATCGACTAGGGATGAGAGAGTATGTAATCGAAATAGCGGCTTCAGGCCGTTAGTGAAAATAGACTGGTCGACTAGCGTTGACATGAATACTTCAAAAACTAGGAAATTATGGTTTGCACTGTATGAAGTTTGCATTTGACATTCAGTCTTGCGATCGCTGCGAATGCCATCGTTGTCAGAACCGCACATTCCGCCATCTAATGTCTACATCGGACGATTTTCCACGCGCCTTGAAAATCAGCCGTTTCTGCGATTGTTACAGTTGTCAGCACTGCGCATTCCGCTGCTAATGCGTAAATCAACCCATTAAGTGTCGCCAACGGTCGGAAGGACGTAACGTGCCATTTACGCTATAGCGCTCCAAGCTCGAAGTCAGCCGAGCAATGCGACTAACGGTTTGCTATTCCATGGCATTCTGGCTTCGCGACATGAGAGCAGCGACCCCGATTCGTAAAACAAAATACACGGATAATATCGCCAGAATATGTGCTAAGGACGTATTTCAACGAGCTTCTCTGCACCGTTAACTGCGTATCCTATAAACCAAATCTGTAAGGTCTAGTAAGTCCTCGAACTCACCATCCTGAACTTCCTCTCCAGCAGCCCGTTCGCCGAAAACCTGACCGAATTTCCATTCAAGAGGAGGAGGCGCTGGTGATGCGGCCGCCTCTCCGGCAACCTCCGCTTCGCCGGTCGACATCGCTAACCCTAATAGACGCGAAAAGATCCCTTTTTGACGCTTCAACGTGGATACTGAGAATCGAGTTTCGGGATACTAGAAAAGGTCGCTAACCCTAAGGCCAGCGAACGCATCAAACTCGGAAATATCGTAGCGCCAACCCCGTAAACCCGCGCATTGTAGCGGAAGTCGCGGGTATGGAGCACGCGACTACAAGAAAGAACGCTCTTAGAAAATTAGCGTCAGAAACAGGCGCTTCTTATGAACGCCTGCCAGCTCAGACCCTAGATTTTATCAGGCAGGTAAGTGGTGGGGTGGGTAGTGCAGAGGGAGAGAGTGGGATAGAAGAAGATAGGAATGGCGAAAGTGGCGCACAAAATAACTTGGCGAAAGAATATACTGTGCTTCACACGAGTTTCGCGAAATCGCAGATCGGCAAGGTGCATTCGCGAAATACAGCAGCTTTGTTTGCGACAACGACGACCGCTCGATCGAGGGGAAATCGAGAGTTCAGGGCAGCGAGGCTGTGATGGCATAGTGGCTCCATGCCTATCCCCCCACTGGTATCCCCACGCCGGTCCGCCCGGGCGCAATAAATATGCGCCCACGTAGACCGAGAAGATCCAGTCAGGATCACAGGCGCGAAGGGCCGACGATAACCGCCTCATAAAGGCAGGGAAACGGAAATTCGTATTCGTTGGGCTTGACTGTTGGCAAACAGTGAATTGAATGAGCAAACAGGGTGTATATATTCATATCACTAGTTCAAGCCAACCAAGCAGCTCTATTTCAATGAGATTTAACATGTGCCAGTTCCTTTATCTGCTTCGCAACACCTAACCTCTGCCTCATTCCCATCCTTGATCCCCTCATTCTGATCCTTCATCCCCTCATTCTCATCCTTTATCCCCCCATTACCATCCTTCATCCCGTTATTTCCACCCTACTTGACTGTCCTTCTATCCACCAGTTCCATCCTTCGTTTCCTCATATTTATCCTTCATTCCCCCAATTCCATCCTTCATTCCCCCCATTGCCATCCTCCGTTTCCCCATTTCCATAAGTCGTCCGCCCATTTCCACCTGTCATCCCCTCATTCCCATCCTTCAGCAGCATTCCCCCATTTCCGTCCTTCGCCTCCCCGCTACCACCATCCTTCAGCACCCCTTCACCATCTTCCATCCCCACACGCTCCACCACTTCACCACCACCATCCACCACCTCATGCCGAGTGCTGCCCTTCCCTACATTCATTGCTGCATCGGCTCTTCTCTCCTCACCAGCCCCACACCCCTCATCACTGGTCAACACACTGTGGTGTTTCTGCACCCGAGACCCACAATCCTCCACCCCCGTATGCTCCACGCCACCACCACCACCCCCCACCTCATGTGGAGTGCTGCCCGTCACTACTTCCACTGCTGCATTGTCCCTCTTCTCTTTACCCGCCCCACTCCCCTCTTCATTGGTCAGCATACTCTGGTGTTTCTGCACACTAGAACCACCCCCCTCCATCCCTCTTCCCTCCCCTTCAGTCACCCCTCCTTTCCCCTCCCCTCATCCTCCCATTTCTCTTGTTCCACCTCCAGCTTCCTCCCTCCCTGCTTCTATCCGCTCCACTCCGCTCCTCCCCACTCGCACCTGCATCAGCTGCACCCCTCCATCCCCATCACCCCCCCACCCCCCCTCCCCATCACTCTCACCCTCCCCGCCCGTTCCTCCTTCCCCCATCTCCCCCTCCACCTCCTCCCCACCCTCCTCTTCTTCTCCCCCGTCCTCCTCCCCCTCCCCTTCCTCCTCCATCACTGGTCCCAAATCAGGAGCCTCCCACCCGCCTCTCCCCACCTCCTCCACATCAACCGGCCTCCTCCCGCCCCTCACGAACCTGCCTTCCCGAGCCTTGATCGACATGGCTCGGGGGCTAGCAGCGGCCGTAGCTATCGCAGCCCACTCCGGCTTGACGCTGTCTGAGAGCTTCTGTAGGAGGTGCTGCTGGTAGTCTGCTGAGTAGAAACGGGAGACTTCAAAGGGGAAGAGAGAGTTGATAGATGACACGTGGTCCTCCACTAGGTCCCAATCCACGCCGCCCTCTATGCAACGCACTGAGGCAGGATCAAATCGGGTCACCTTTGCCGCCCGGTCTCCTGGGCTCTCTGCATTAGCACTGTCAGCAGCAGCGGCGGCGGTAGCTGCGTTTGCAGCGGCGTCGGCAGCAGCAGCGGCTCTTTTTGCCTCTGCCAGCTGTAGCAGGCGCTGCAGACGAGTGAAGCCGTTCGACGCGAGGAAGGCTGGGCGGCAGGCATTGTCTTTAGCGAGCACTACAGACATGCGATGCAGGACAGACTCCAGTATGCCGTCCGGCAGCTTAGTCCACTGTATGGGAGCAGCGGAGGAGGGGAGGGGGGAGAGGGGAGGGGAGGAGAAAAGGGGAAGGGAGAAGAGGAAGGACACGGGGCAGAGAATGGAATGTGGGGAGGGGACACTTGGAAGTAGTGGGAAGCGTGAGGTGAATGGTAAGTGGATGCAACATTGGAGGATGAAAGCATGTGGAGAAGGACAGAGAAGGTGTGTGCTTGCAATATAGCAATGTACCTGCAGCAGTGCATCAGGAGCTTGGGGTGATTTTCGAGTCAACAAAAAAAGCATCACCTCTTGCAATGAGCTGAAGCAGCTGCGATGTACCTGCAGCAGCGCATCAAGCGCTTCGATGTCATTCACCCGAACCACCACATCCTTCACTGCCTGCACCAAGCGCTTCCGAGCCTCCGCACCATCCGCCATAGCAGCAGCGGCAGGCCCGGCAACAGGTTCGGGAGCAGGGAGGTGAACGGTGGCTGCTGTTACCATGTCGATCAACACCCCACTGTCTGCCACGGCCTTGGCGTGGCTGGGACTGACATGTGTGAAGGAGACAGAGAATATGGGTAGGGAGTGAAAGGGAAGAGAAAGAACAATGTCATTAACCTGTGGATGCTGTTACTATGGCAGCCCGCACCCCACTGCCTGCCACGGGATTGGCATGGCTGGGACTGGCACGTGTGAAGGAGACAGAGAATATGGGTAGGGAGTGAAAGGGAAGAGAAAGAACAATGTCATTAACCTGTGGATGCTGTTACTATGGCAGCCCGCACCCCACTGCCTGCCACGGGATTGGCATGGTTGGGACTGGCACGTGTGAAGGAGACAGAGAATATGGGTAGGGAGTGAAAGGGAAGAGAAAGAACAATGTCATTAACCTGTGGATGCTGTTACTATGGCAGCCCGCACCCCACTGCCTGCCACGGGATTGGCATGGTTGGGACTGGCACGTGTGAAGGAGACAGAGAATATGGGTAGGGAGTGAAAGGGAAGAGAAAGAACAATGTCATTAACCTGTGGATGCTGTTACTATGGCAGCCCGCACCCCACTGCCTGCCACGGGATTGGCATGGCTGGGACTGGCATGTGCCAAGGGAACAGAGCAGAAAGGTAGAAAGTGCAAGAGAAGAAAGGATCACGAAAGCACATTGTTGGATGCTATGACCACGTGTTACATAAATCTGCCAGTAACATACCCCTATCCAACATGAACCGAACCTTACCCCTCCCTATGCATCCTCACCCATCCTCACCATCCTCACCCATCCCCACTCGTCCTCACCCACGCTCACCCATGGGAAGCCATCTGGGAGAGCGCCCACGCGCAGGCCCCTTTGAGGGTGACGTCAGCGTCGCCCTCCACTATGAGATCCTGCAGCGGGGATATGCCGTCCGATGCCACCACTGCCAGCGCTGCATCGGGGGAGGAAGCTGCGAGGAAGCCGAGGGCCACCACCACTGGGAGATGGAGGGGAGTGGTATGGTGGTGGGTGGGGAATGAGGAGGGGTATGTGAGTGTGTGTGTGGCTGGAAATTGGATTGTGCGAGTGAGTGCCTTCTGCGAGAAAGTGCATGGAGGGTCTAAAGGCAATGCGTGACAAAGGAAGAAAGCAACATGACGGTCGGTCGCAGCATTGCACAAACAGGACATAAAGGAGATGGAACAGGACAACCACAAACAGATCGAAAAGAGGCCACAAAAAGGGATTAAAAAAAAACATCAGTTACCGACCTGAAACTTTACCAGAGCCTCTCGTCATCCCCTTCCCCTCCCCTGCTCCCTCCCCTTCCCCTGCATCCCTCCACGTGCCCACAGCATCCAGCAGCGGCCCGATGCCCCCCATGCCCACCAGCCTGCCTGCTGCTGCCCTTTCCTCTCCGTCGCTGCTGCTGATGCCCCTAGGGAGAGTGCAAAGAGATTCCAGAGAGAACACAAGGGAAGCGCAAGCCTTTGGCCTGAAGTCACTGACCTGAAACCTTGGCGGAGCCTTTGGTCATGCCCTCCCCCTCCCCTTCGTCCCTCCACGTGCCTACAGCATCCAGCAGCGGCCCAATGCCCCCCATGCCCACCAGCCGGCCTGCTGCTGCCGGTCCCTGCCTCGCCACCTCCCTCACCGCCGCTGCTGCTGACGCCCGCAGGGAAGGGGATGAGTCGTGCAGGCAGAGCAGCAGGCGAGATGCTCCTGGTTGGTCCAACACTTGCTGCGGGGTATTTTAAGGACAGAGGGGAAAGTGGACAGGAGGAACGGGAGAGGGGGATGGGAAGAGGGGGGGAGGGGAAAGAGGGATTGGGGGAGACGGGTGGGTAGAGAAGGGTTGGAATGAGTAAGGGGAACGAGTCGTGCCGGAAGACAGGAGGCTATGCTGTACCAAGGTTAACGGCTTAGAGCGGTTCAGAACGTTCTGGAAGTTTCAGAACGGCTTGCGAAGTTAGGAGCAGTGCTTACCAGGGCGAGGGACTGAGAGCAGTTCAGGGCGGTTCAGAACGGTTTGGAAGTTAGGAGCAGTGCTTACCAGGGCGAGGGATTCAGAGTGCCTGGCGATGGTAGAAAGGCAGACGCAGACCTGTAAGGGGTGCAGAGGGGTGCAGATGGGTGGGAGACAGGGGAAGCAGAAAGGGGCACAAGGGTGCAGAGCGGTTAAAAAAGCTGCAGAAGGGTGCGTGGAGATGCAAAAGTTAAGCGTTTGTGTAGAAGAGGGCAGGAGCAAACGTCGCGCACAGAGAGAAGTGAAGGGCACGTGCAGGGTTAGAAGGAAGGAAGGTGCAAGCGTGGTGGTGCAGAACAGAAGGAGCCGTGATCACAGAGGGGTTCGGGGAGTGGGCAATGGGATACATGGGACGAGGTTCGAGTCGTTCAAAACAACAGGCATATGAGAACAGCACCTGACGCCTTGTCTTGACGTCAGGTGATCCCAACAGAGAGACGGCGGCGGTAATGCCGCCCGCATCGGCCACGGCTGTAGCATGCAGCAGCGAGTGGCGTGCCACGTCACTCAGCACTGAGAGGGCTATCCGCGCTACAGCCTCGTCCTGCCATGAGGTATAAGGATATGAGACATGGGGAGATGGGATATGGGAGATGAGAGGTATGGGAACACGGGATATGGGGACAATATATTTGAGGACATGAGATGAAAGGGCAAAGGGCAGAAAGCTGGACGTGTGGAGAGGTAATGAGAGCATGAGAAAGGCAATGTCTGGCACAAGCATGAGCCTTTTGAAAGAGCAGGTCATTCATGAACGAGGGCATGAGTTACTGCTGACCAGGTCCCAATGCTGTTGTGAACCCCACCTGAAGGCATGTCACCAGCAACCGCACTGCACCCGTCTCAACCACTCTCATCGCCAGGTCACCGCTGTGCTTCGCCACGTGGCCCAATGCGCACGCAGCAGTCTCCCGCACCGCCAGCATGGCATCCAGAAGGCACTCCGTCAGCAACGGCAGCACGCCCGCCTCTGCCAGCTCAGCGCCAGCGTGGCGCGACACGGCCTTGACTAGATATGCTGCTGCGCGCTTGTGGTGGCGATTGGTGCCGCTGGGGGTAGAGGGAGAAGAGAGGGGAAGACGAGAGGTGGAGGGAGAGGAGAGGGGAAGACGAGAGGTGGAGGGAGAGGAGAGGGGAAGTCGCGGGGTTGGAGGGAGAGAAAGATGAACGAAACGACGAGAGTGCTTCGCATGAAGAAGCCAGCATGTTGCGACGCACTCGTGAGTGGCACGTGGCAGGAGAACCGCCGGAAATGAAACATTCAAGGCACCGTGACGTGGTGTGACGTGACGAAACGATTGACAAAGCAGGAGGACTGACGTGAGAGGCTTGCAGAGAGATCAACTGGCCGGGCAAATCCCCGAATTCTAAAAACACATTCGAATAGATTCAGTAAGAGGAGGACTGACGTGAGCGCTTTGCAGAGCGACGGCAGCACGTTGCGCTGCACGAGGTGGTGCGACCACGTATGCGACAATTTCGCCAGGCGACCCAGCGACAGCGTCGCAGCGGATCGCACGGACGCCATGCTGTCCTGCGCGAGCGGCAGCAACAGCTGCAGCGCGCCAAGCGACAGCAGCGCCTCCGCGTTCTGCCGGGGAAGAAACGCGGGCGGACAGCGCATTCGAAGTCAATAGAGCTGGCGACACGCAAAGAATGAACCTCACCCAGCAGCACCATGAATTCGCCATGAATTCGACACGAATTTGCCATGAAATCGCCATGAATTCGCCTGAAATTCGCCATGAATACGCCATGAATTCGCAGATCGAAGCTCGGATGCTGAGAGACACTGAGATTAAGGTGCACCTGAGAAGAAACCGCGAGTTCGCCAACTTTCATGACGAACTGCACGCGCGCGTCGCGGTACGCTTCCATTACCGCCACCACGGCTCGAGCCGCTTTGCACTGCGTGGGTGCTGGCAGCACCGCAGCCGCCGCCATAGCTAAACGCGACAGGTACGTTATTTTACGATAATGGTCACACGATATTCCAAAGAAACCAGTAACTTCTGCGGAAGAACAAAACGCGGAAGTGCCGATGCGGGAGAAGCGTAACCATCGACGAGCGATTCGGCAAGCGCCTTTGAGTGGCCGTGAATCGTAAGAGAAATTCTGTCGTGTTACGTAATTCAGGAGTTCGTTGACTCCTTGACTGATTCCTTCACTTGCTTACTATGAACACTATTTCCTCTTGCTTAGTATGGACACTATCTCCATGTCCTTGCTGCTGACTGCTCTGATATTTTCTTCTCACACAAAGCATGTCAGCATTCCATGGTCACTATTTCCCCTGATATTTTCTTCTCAAGCGTGGTGCAACTGCTTGCTTTCTGTTCGATATTCCGCGTTCCAGCACGGTATTGTAAGCTTTTGAGCGGTTCTGTCAGTTCACCGCTTCAAACCGTTTCCCACCTCTCCAACGTTCCGTTCAGAACTTGACGCGGAATGTCTCAACGGAACCAAGAGGGAAATCCGAATGACTTGAGAAATCCGCAGGCGAACATGTGCCTAGGTTTACCTGCTAGAGTCCAATAGTATCACATTCAGTTCATTCTGTGCATCGAGTAAACACGGAGATTGAAAAGAAATATTTATAAAAGTGAAACACTTCACTTCGTCGCTTTGAACCGCCACCTACCACACACCGACTGTGGAGCTCCTGAAGGAACGGGAAACAGTGTAAAGACAGAACAATTGCGTGGAGAATACAGCATGGCGGATGTGGCGGATACGGTACAGTATGGCACCCTGCTTATGGCAGCGTGTCACTATTCAACTTACACTGAAGGGTCGCTCGTTTGTCGTCAGCCAAAGTGCATATTCAATGCTGATGTGGGGTGACCCCACTGGGGACGATCGATTTCATTGGCGCAGTAGATTTTTTTGCTCCTGCCAGCGTGTCACTGCTGGATTTTGGCGCGGAACTGAGCGGTGATTTTCGGTCGCTCAGTTGTCGTCAGCACAGTCCCAAGGCAGCTTCTTATCTCCTGCCCACTTGGGATGGTTCCTTTGGCATCGCTGTGGTGGAGAGATTCGCATCCAGTACAGTGTAGCACGCTGCTCCTGGCAGCGTATTGGGTGGCTCGTTAATTTGTCGTCAAGGGAAGTCCCTATTCGATGTGCTGCTGATGTGGCAATTTCATCCGCTCCTTGCCCCTGCTACTGTAGCGTGTCACTGCTGGATAGATGGCGCGCGCGAACTAAGCGATGCTTTTTCGTTCGGGTCGCACAGTTGTCGTCAGCTTGTTCCCAAGGCAGCTTCGCACGTTTTGTTAGGAGTTCCGTGAGGATGGTTCCTTGGCGAGATTGGTTTATGACGTCAACAAGTCAGCTCCGCATCCACTTTCCCGCATTTTCATCCGCGGCGCACGCAAACCTGAGCATCATCCGTCAGGTTGCGCGCGCTTCGGATGAGTGGTTTGTATGTTTCGATGGCAAAGGAGGTTCAGGACAATCCAAAGTAAAGTGTTAGAGACTAAGGCATGAATGGTGTGATTAGGTCAAGAGTGGGGTACAAAACTAGAGTGTCGAGAATATTTCTGTACCCCCTAAGGCTAGCCCCAATATAGCCTAGATAGTTTTATGCATCTGTTTTGACACACCCCCATAGACAAAATGGGGGATAGCCAGAGCAAGCAATGGTCACAAGACCAGTCAAGAGAAGAAACAAAACACAGCTCAGGGTGGATCACAACGTCACCACACACTCTGAGCACAAGCAAACGGCCACAAGGCCAGTCCACATGCAGAGGTATATATGCAACAAGAACAGCACAGTGATCTCTATCTAGCAAGAGCAAGCATGCAGGTATATATATATAGATCACAGTACAAGCAGAGACTACAGCAAGTGTGGAAACGTAGGCACAAGGCCCAACAAAGTACAAAAGCGCTGATGGTCACCAGACGGAAGTGCCTTGGTGAATATATCAGCAGTGTTGGCCCGAGTGGCCACGTGAGCAAGGCGAAGCTGACCCCGCTGCTGCAACTCTCGAGCCAGGAGGTAACGCAGAGCGATGTGCTTCGTTCTGTGCTCCAGTCTGTGCTCCTGACACAAGGCAATGGCGGCCTTGTTGTTTACGTACAGAACTGGAGGAGAACAAGGCCGCTCTCCCAGGTCGGTCAACAGGTAGGTGAGCCAGCGTAACTCCTGTGCAGCCATGGCTGTGGCGTAGATCTCAGCCTCACAACTGGAACTGAGAACTGAAGACGAGCGTGTAGAACGCCAGGAAACTGAACCAGAGCCAAGGCTGAAGGTGTAACCCTGTGACGACCGCTGCGTAGCCAGGTCGTCAACCCAAGAAGCGTCCGAGTGCCCAGTGAGGACAACTGGGCTCCGCCCTCCAAGCACGAGCCCCATGCCTGATGTACTGCACAAGTAGCGCAGTACCCTCTTCGCAGCATCCATGTGCTTCTTTCGGTGCCTACCAGGAGCCACGTAGCGGGCCAGAAGGCCAAGAGGGTACGCAAGGTCAGGTCGAGTGCAGGTCAGCAGGTACATGAGGCAGCCCACTAGCTTTGGGTACGGGCCACTCGGCTCTACGGACTCGTCCGAAGGTGGAGCTGAGAGCGAGTGGCCTGTAGCCAGAGGAGTGCGCTGTGGTGAGGACCAGGTGAAGCCGAAGCGCTGAAGGACCTGCTGCACCATGTGTGACTGAGTCAGTGTGATGGTGCGGCGTGCTCTGTCCTGGGTGATCTGCAAGCTAAGGTAGCTGCGCAGCTCACCCAGATCTGTGCACGTGTGTCTCTTCTGCAGCTCCGACTTCACCAGGGCGAGAGCCTCAGTGTCAGCAGTGGCAAAGACCAAGTCGTCGACATACACGAGGATGTAGAACGGCGGCAACGACGTGTCGGTGCGCAGAAACAGCGACGGGTCAGCAGTCGACGGAGCAAACCCAAGAGCCGCAAGTGTAGTCCTCAGTGTGTCGTGCCACTCACGTGGTGCCTGGCGGAGACCATAGACTGGCCGCCGGAGGCTCCACTGGGTACCAGGAGGGAACGACCCAGTGAAGCCAGGAGGGCGGCGCAGCCAGATCTCCTCGTGCAGGCTGCCCTGTAAGAAAGCTGTGCCGAAG